AAAATTCATAAAAATGTGACTGAGCAACTGACGACTGTATCAGCCAGATTTTCCTCGCGCTTTGGTTAACAAGCAGATCCGCCGCGAGCTCGTGCAGCGGTCAGAATACATGCAATTCGTGCGTGTATTAGAAAACATAACGTTCTGCAGTTTATTTACTAATTGTTTAAAGAGGTCATATGATGCCCATTTTCCACAAGTTGATATGATTCTTTAGGGTCTTAATGAAAAGTTTTTTTTTGCTATTTTCGGCCGAATAATTTCGGTTGCCGAACATTCCGTGCATCCCTAATATTATCGTCCAACTCTAATCTGCTAAACGCACATATATGGAATGAAGATATTAAGATATTATAAACATAAACATCTGGATTTTCTGTAAAGCTGCTTTGAAACAATGTGTATTGTGAAAAGCACTGTACAGATAAATTTGACTTGGCTTCTTAATCTTTTATCTAAATGTAACTTTTTCTAAAACGACTCTCCAGTTCGGACGATGTCATTTATTTTAGCTCTCGATGCACACTTTTTTTTTTACGATGCAGTCGGTTCCTGGCGGATAAAATCAATTCCTCCCTTGTGTTTTTCCTCAATGAAAATTCTTTTTCACTGATAACGTAAATTATGTTTTTCTTTTCTTGAATTTTGCTGAAAATGGCAAGTTGATATAGTAAGAAATCTCCTGCTAAGAGTGTAAATGTCTGAAGTTAAAGGCTAATAAAAGAAAGATAAGAGTTGTTTTAGTGGAGTTCAATATTTTGCATTTTAAGTCAATCATTTTGACAGGGCATTTCTAAATATCTCTGCACGTTGTACCAGGCTTTATGTGAACTCACTCTCACTTTCTATCTTTCTGTCTTTTGGGATGATCGTGCTAGACTTTGGTCCCGTTCCAGATGGCTCCCTCTCACAGTCTTCTTCCCAGTCTACATTTTAGGTAATAGTCAGCTGTGAAGTCCGAACTGGCTCATAGTGGTTACAAATGAAAATGCGTGCCATCTGGGACTGAGCATTTATGTGCCATTAACTTGCATTTGTATGCATGTGGATATATATAATTGCATTTATTTTCAAGAAACTATTTATTGTGTGTGTATATATATATATATATATATATATATATATATATATATATATATATATATATATATATATATACCTTTCTGCTACCTCATTTTCCTGTTGACATGCTGCCTTCATTCATACAAACACGTACACGGCAGAGTGAAAGGTGCCAGCAGGTCACCATCATGACCCTGAGTGTCCTTTGAGTGCAGAAAACCACATTATTCCACCTCTCTTCTTATGTAACGTTTTAAAATTCATCCGTATCACTTTGTCTGTTTTGAAAATGTCCGAATGCTTAAGCTAAGGGTCAGGATGCTCAAGGTCGCAGAACACAATAAATGCTCTGCTAGAATACATTATGACATTGCACCAAGGCTGCATTTATTTGATCAAAAATTGTAGTAAAATCTGTAATATTGTGAAATATTATTACAATTTAAAATAACCATTTTATATTTTAATATATGTTAAAGTGTAATTTATTTCTGGGATGCAAAAGTGAATTTTCAGCATCATTACTCAGTCTTCAGTGTCACATTCTAATATGCTGATTTGCTGTTCAACTAACATTTCTGATTATCATCAGTGTCAAAAACAGCTGTGCTGCCTCATATATTTGTGGAAACCATGAAGTATTTTATTTTTCAAGAGTCTTTGATGAATAGAAAGTTCAAAAGAAAAGCATTTATTTTAAATAGATTTTTTTATGACATTATAAATATCTTTACTGTCACTTTTGATCAATTTTATGCATCCTTTCTTGTGTATTAATTAAATGAAAAACTTTTAATGCTTTTGTTGTCTCAAATGCATCAATTGACTACAGTGACCCTTTTGCCTCAGTATTTTAAATATTTAGTCAGGTTTTTATCTCTTTTTTTGGCATTTATTCTGAGAACTGGTTTATTTCTGACGTAGCTTTGACAGAAGGTATTTTGTGTGTAATTGAGCCAAATCTTTGATGCCCGACTGCTTTGTTTCTCATCTGATCTGTGGCTGGTGTTGACGTACTCATGTTTGCTCTGTCCTGAACAGCAGATGTTTTCCAGTCTGATTTTTTTGGTCACAAACAGGAAAAGGATAGGATCCAAGGGCAAAGATCTTACTCCTGCTCGCTGTGGGATTGTAAATGACCTATTTACATCCTAACTATCCGACGTAAACTGCTGTCTAAGCACGATCGGCCAGAGCCGGGGATTATTGATACCACAAGGTGTTTTCGGTGCTCCTAAGATCACATTTATATTCAAAACAGCAGAGTGAAATAGAAAACTGATGAGCTCAGGGGAAGTTATTTAAGAAGACAACAGGAAATGCAGTGTTTAGGTGTGAGGATGTGCCTTACATTCATCACAGCCTCAGAGACAGAGCAAGAGCGACAGAGAAACACAAGACGTTCTGCGTGCATTTAGTAGCAGCTGATAGTGAAGAAGAAGCATCATTAAGTGTTTATCATGCATGTTCATCCTTCATTAATGCACTGGATGAAGTTGGTTTTGAATTTCCAGATTTAGCATAGCTGGAGGAAGCTCATACTGTATAATATATAAGAGAGTTTGCATTTGTGTTACATGTTTTGGTCACTACATCATTCCCAGACTTCCTTTGGTCTGTTATGTCATAATTTAAATGTGGTTTCTGGTTTGTGTTGAATCTCTGCTTTAAATTATTCAGATAAGTCTTGATATCAGTACTACAGAAACATCAACTTCTTAATTGATCGGCTTGGAAACAGTTTTATATTTAAAAATGTAACAATTTTTATGCTGTGAACATTTAATGTCAACTTTGCATTTGCTTAATTTTTAATGTTGAGGCAGATAGATAATAGAATATTAATTATGTATAATAATAATGATAATAATTATAATGCTTTATTTAAATAATATTTAATTTATTTAAATATGATTTATCTTTTAATAAAGTTGAATATCATTTAATAAAATTACTTAAAATTTTATATATACATTTTAAATTATTTTATATATACATTAGTGCTGTCAAACGATTAATCGCGATTAATTGCATCCAAAATAAAAGTTTTTGTTTACATAGTATGTCGTTTGTTTACATAGTAATATGTGTGTATACTGTGTATATTTATTATGTATATATAAATACACACACATGCATGTATATATTTAAGAAAAATATGTTACGTTTATATATTAAATATATTTATATATAATACAAATTATATGAATAAAAATATATACATGTAAATATTTTCAAAACATATGCTGTATGTGTGTGTCTTTATATATACTAGGGATGCACGATATATCGGCCACCATATCGGTATCGGCCGATAAATGCTCATTTTTTCTGTTATCGGTATCGGCCCGATAAGAAAATTTGGCCGATATCTTAAAGCCGATAAATAATGCATTATTTCCTTCAGAGACACTTCAGATGCGCACTGTTCGTTTGCAGCCTTTTGTGCAATTGTACGTTGTATTATTGTGTTTATTTGATGTATGTCTGATTTATCTCATATAGAATGCGTTTGGTTAAGTTAAAAGAGCGCTTCAGTTTACCAGTGATCATCTTTAGCTCAGCGCACGCAGCTCAAACAGCAGTGCACAACATTAATAACTATGATTGGGAATGTCGTGTATATAACATTCTAATGAGAACGTTATTATAATAAAACGTTGTGAATTCTTTGGGTTTAGTTGCCATGTTTCAGCGCGTTGTTATGGGAAGAGCGCATCCACAACAGGATCACACATTCTGACTATAGCACGCAATAACTGCGTCATTTTGTACATATATAAGTTGTAATATTATGTTTATGTTGTATTAATATTAATCTCAGGATGCATTTCCTTGAGTTAAATAAGCTGCCAGCAAAACGCTTCAGTTTACC